GTTTTTTTCTCGATAAAACAGAAACTCTTAGTCTTATCTAAAAAGGTGGCAACAACGAGCAAAACTCCGTGTAAAAACAATATTACACTTACGTCCATCGAGGGTGGCACTTAGTCGAGGACGGAACTTTTGTGGGTAAAGATGATAGTTGGCTGAGCCGAGAGAAATGAGAAGAAGGGAGAGAGGGATGGAGATGAAAATGTTTAGATAATATTGGCTGCAGCTCCATTATGACAAGTGCCCTTTTACTTTGGACACTTTCCATTCGAGCAAAACTTCCGGATCTTTCGAAATCTGGACAAATAGAACGAAATTTCTAGTGAAAGTTTCCAGAAAGTAGAAAGTTGTTGAACCTCTGACGTACGAACCATTTAGTAATTTAAACGAAGATTCGTAAAGTTCTGAGAGGAAATTAAAATCAAAGGAAACAGAATTTTCGAAAATTGAGGTATACTTTGCGGGGTTTTCCTCTTTTCTGGAAATTCTAGAAACGTTGTTCCATTTCCGGAATTCAAAGCGGACTTTTTGGCAGAATAGAAAGTGACTTCCGTGTTCCTTTAAGCAAGTGAGACCAGGTCATTGCCTTCATCTTTCTTGATGAAGGACCCGAGAACTAGTATTACAATCTCGATCATTCCTTCCCCTTCCCCTTCCCCTTCCCCTTTCCCAACAACCACCATTTTTCAACCATAAGTTTAAGCCTTTCAAAGAAGTAGGAAAATCGGTCAAAATCCTATTGCTTAATAAACCGTACCAAACACGCGCTGCCAAAGAAGTAAGAGTTGGAAGAGAAGTACAGCTTAATAAAGCATTCTAATTCTAAAAATGAAAATGCTGTCGATAACGTGTACATGAGTGGTCATCACACACTTAGTCATCACAGCGCTCTAAAGTTGTTGTAATTATAGTATAACAAACATCAACAGTACCACATGAAGGCACAGGCTACTCGGTACTGTACATGTACCGGTATCTCTTGTTTTAATGCCATATACCGAGGTTTCATCTACAAACTTTAATTTTAGAACCATCTTTCCTGTATACAGTAAATGCTATCATTTAGAAGTACTACTAAATATTTTTCATGTTAAAGGTCACAGACTAA